ACATCGTGACATTCCCCAAACACTGAGCACACATTCAAGAGCTGCTGAAGACCTGCTGAGCTGGGACTAAAAATCACAAGGTCGTCTGCATACATTAAATGATTCACAACTTTGTCACCGAACATACATCCCGTTCTGCACATATTTAGTTCTTTAGACAGATCATTCATGTAAAAATTAAACAAAATTGGTGAAAGCAGACTACCTTGTCTTACGCCATTACCGGTCTGAAAAGGCGCAGATATACAGTTATCCCATCTAACAGACATAGTCTGGTGGGCATACCAGTATGACAAACATCTCACTATATATTTAGGTACTTGGGCATCACACAGTTTCTGGAATAATTTCCTGTGATTCACTCGGTCAAAAGCTTTGGAGGCATCTAAGAAGCACATGAATACAGAGGAGTTTTTGCTTTTATATTTACTGACCAATTCTTTTAGGGCAAATATACACATGTCAGTGCCATGGCTAGTTTTAAACCCAAATTGGTTTGCAGTAGAGCTAATAAGAGCAGAGTGTAATTAAAAACACATTTATCATAAGGGAAAGCAGAGGTAGAAACTTTATTGTGAAGGCAGCACATTCATAAGTTAAATCAATATTTTTGCTGCATGAGAATCTAACACACACCCTTTCTCTCCCCTCCTTGTCCTACCTCTAGGAGAGTCTGTGCCAGAGTACCAGATGGCCTTTCAAGCGGAGGCAGGGAACCACCCAACGTTCGAGGACATGCAGGTCCTGGTATCCAGGGAGAAGCAGCGGCCCAAGTTCCCAGAAGCCTGGAAAGAAAACAGTTTGGTACATTTGTGTGTGTGCGAGAGAGAGAGTTATACAAGTTATAAGATGAACCTAGTCAGCAGATTGTGAAACATTCACACAACTGTTTATTTTTAGTACTCTGAGAACCATTGTAGGAACGCATATACTTTGATTATTTTAAAGCTCTGGAAACCATGTGACATTAAGTCTGAACAAGTTTAGAAACATTTTACATAGTTGTCATTCTGTTTACAAGTCAGTTGCTGTAATAATTATGCAACTCAATTCTAACCTACAATTCTGGTAAAAAGCTGAGAATATTGAAATATATTGCAACACAAGTCACTTAGTATTACTGTTGATCTTAACGAAATCACCCTGTAAAATCAGAACCTGTCTTTTTTTTAATGCTTTGGCTTTTGTAATAGTCAGTGTAGATGTGGGCACTGATGTTACTGACTGTCTCTGTCAGGCGGTTCGCTCCCTGAAGGAGACGATGGAGGACTGTTGGGACCAGGATGCAGAGGCCCGCCTCACAGCGCAGTGTGCTGAGGAACGACTGGCAGAGCTGCTGCTCATATGGGACCGTTCCAAATCTGTCAGCCCAACACTCAACCCCATGTCCACAACACTACACAATGAGAGGTAAAGGCATCTACTTCTGTGGTGGTGCTACCTGTTTTATTATGGTCTTCTTACAAATGTTGTATCTAACATTTTCCTTTGTGATACCAGAAATCGTATGACACCAAAGTCTGGCACGTACACAGACCATCCCTTCACCTACATTGAAGAGCATGAGGATGTGGCCAAGAACTCACAGGCAGACACCAGTAGCTCTGTGAGCAGCAGAGCTGTAGCTGGGACTGTGGAGAGAAACAGGAACTCCATAAACCAGGAGCGCCAGCAGCTAGCTAACGCTCGTCTGCCCAGCCCAGAAAGCAGCAGCACCAGCATGGGACTGAGAGGCAGCCCTTCAGCCTCCACTACAACCACCACTGTAATCTCTGAGTCTGAGGGACCTGCAGGGGCTGCCACAGTCCCCGTCTGCCTCCACCTGACCCAGGAAGACCTGGAAACTACCAAGCTTGACCCAAAAGAAGTGGACAAGAACCTGAAGGAGAGTTCGGATGAGAACCTGATGGAGCACTCACAGAAGCAGTTCTGCTCTCCAGACCCACTGAGCCCTGGCAGTTCCAGCCTACTTTATCCACTCATCAAGATGGCCAGCGAGGTGTCGGGCACATCAGACCCTGCTGCCCCCATGCCCACTACCATCTTCCCCCTGCCCAAGCAGCAGAACCTGCCCAAGAGGCCATCCAGTCTGCCCCTGCGCACCAAGCCCACCAAGAAGGAGTCGTCATCGTCTTCACTCAGGTTCAAGTTCGGACGCTCGGGAAAGTCCAATCTGAGGCAGGTGGAGGGAACAAAGTTGAACACTGGTGCAGTGACAGGCACAAACCCAGCTGTGGAGGCTCACCGGGGCACAGGCACAAACAACCTACCTATTCTACGAGGCACCCATATTAATGGTAGCGTTAATGGTGTAGTTCATGCTAGCTCTGGTGTCTCATCCATAGCTACAGGTGGAGCAACAGGTTTCGGAGGATCCAGCACAACTCAGAACAGGTCTGGAGCCCTGAGGTTGGACGACAGCAACCTGAGCCTCGGTGCTATCACAACCAGCCCAGACGAACACGAGCCACTTCTGAGCCGAGAGCAAGAACAGCTCGATCCAAGAGACACGTCATCGAGCGTTGCCGCCCTCCGCTCAGCCCGACCCAACACCAACAACAACAACAGCAACACTGGCCATGGCCAGGGGGATGGAGAGAGTGAAGGAGAAAGCGACGGAGGGGAGGAGGAGGGGAACGAAGAAGCAGGAAGCAGGGAAACTACAGGTCCCCCAGGAGAAAGCCCAGCGTCTGGTGCCGCAGACCCCCAGGGCGAAGTTCCAGTCACCATGAGAGGGGAGGCCCTGCTCAGGCAGCCTAGAACCCGCAGGCCCGAGAGACCCAACTCCCTTGACCTGTCCTTCACAACACAGGGCCTAGCCTCACTAGGTGACTTTACACACATGCATTCAATAGCACTTGTCATGTTCAGTTGCTGATACAGTCTCAACAGAACTTTAGGGATTAGACTGACATCCTTTTATACACTTTTTTTTTTTTTTGGCTAAGCTCAGTGGTTCCTGTGTAAACCACTGTGTAATGTAAACTGAAGACAGATACCTTTAAAAAGACTGTAGCTTTTATCAAATGGCACTCAAACAGGAGAAAATAGTGCATTTGTTGGAGACTAATTTTGGTGCTGGATGAATTCACTTTTGTTACGGTAGTGTGTTTGAATAATGAAGGAACATGTCACCCAGTGCAAAGGTCAGGCTCACTGAACAGTTTTAGATGCACCCATGCAATACTTGTTATTAGGATCAGTTACATGTTGGTCTGGGTCTGCACATGGGATTAAATGACCACAGAAACATAAATAAAATATCACTAGACCTGTCCTTTTTAGTGTTTCAGGTTAGAAATAATAGACAGAACCACAACCTGCAAATATTCAGCATTTTAATCTGTTAAATTACTTAAAACAGTGAAGTTGATTAATTTTCAGTTCATTTGCCATCCCTGGTAGGCTAGTGGTTAAGGCGCAGCGCTCTCGCCGCTGTCCGGGTTTGAATCAGGGTTACGTCAGGAAGGGCATCCAGCGTAAAACACGTGCCAAATGTCAACATGCGAGTCGTCAGTATGACAATTCGCTGTGGTGACCCCTAAACGGGAAAAGCCGAAAGTGACTTTCTTTCTGAGAAATTCATTTGATTAATCATTCCTGCACCTTATTGCTGGACTAATTGTTGAAGACCTGCTGTGCAGTCTTAAAGGAGCACCACACCAGTTTTGCTGATACTGATCATTGTTCTTTCCTGTTTTCCAGGGGAGGGGTTGGTACAGCCAGACGGAGCACTGGCGACAGGAGATAAGATCAAGAAGCGTGTCAAAACCCCATATTCCCTCAAGAAGTGGCGACCTACCACATGGGTCATCTCCACAGACAACAGGGGACCAGAGGTCAACAACAATGGGTCCACCCATGGTCAGGGACACAGTCAGAAGTCCAGTTCAGCTATCTACCTGCGGGGAGGGGGCTTGGCCAGCGAGCGCAGCGACACGCATGTGTGAACTCGGACCTTTTGACAAGACAGAGGAAACAAACAAAGCGCTTGTGTCTGGTCTGTTGGGCTTTCTCTTCTGAATCAGCAAGAGGAAACTACAGAGTGTCTTGTGAACAAACAGTTGAGTCTGAACATGTACAGTAAATTAGGTCCGTCTCGCTCCTGTGTGTCTTTCTGATGACGACATTGCTTTAAATGGAATCTAGCTATGCAGCAATCTCATCTGCTTCTGTTTCTCTGTTTTATTAATCTCCCTTTGTTAGTTTGTTTCATGTCTCATAGTGATGTTCTGAATGCCTTTTTTTTTGTATGTGCACTTTGAACCAATTCAAATCAGTGTTTAGAAGTCCTGTCAGTTGCGACCACAACAAAACTGGTCTCTAAACTTAAAACGGTGAAGAAAAACAATCAACACTTTGAGCGTTCTCGGTCTTATACTTGCTGTATCAAGTAACTTTAGAGTAAAAACAAATTGAGTCTTAAAAGACAGAACAGACTACTTTGTTTTTTTTATTTCCATTATTTGTATGCAAAACCAAGTTTGTCTTTTTTTGACTGTATATCCATTTTTTGTATCATAATTCAAATTGTGCAATAGGATGTAGGTTTTAGATGCTTTTTATTGTTTCCATTATGTTTGTCATCATTTTATAATTTTTATATGTTAATCTCTGTTGCACTTATGAATAGTCACAATCATTTTAAAAGCAATCCACTACACACTATTACCCTCTGGATGTGAGAAGAAAATGGATGACAACCCTCCTCTTTTTCCTTCCTCTCTGGACTATCTTTAGGGGGTGCACAAAAACTATCAATCAATCCCAGCAAACTGGTCAAATATGTTTTCATGGAACTTCTGTGCTTGCACATTGACACAAGGAATGGCTCAAACTCTGGGCTCTTTAGACACTACAATCACCAGAATGAATCCTATGGAGGAATCTGTTGCAGCGGCCGACTCAATCACTGTACCACCATCACCTGACCTCACTGTGGACTGTTTTGACTGTGTTTAGCTGTATGTGACTGAAAGACCAGAAACACAAAAAAAGGCCATATTCTGCTCTTAAGGACTCTTTTGCAAATCACAAACTAGTATATTAGAAAACCAACTCCCTCTGAAACACGCTGGATATTATTTCTGCTTCTTGTCTCTATCTTGATGTTGGAGTGACTGAGTCAGTGTGTGCGTGTGACTGTGCACATGTCACGTTTTTTAACTCAGCAAGCATCTGTTGACGTGTACAGGCGTGCTGAAAATGCCATTGTACTCATTCTGTATTTCAGCGCTGCTTCCGGGCATATGAAAATATCTCATGTTTTTGTAACTTGTAATTTGTATGAAAAAACATATGTAAGTGTATTGCATTGATATTCATATCATTTTTATGGAATTCCGTTTTGCATTCAATGGACATGGCCTTTGATTCCATTGCTATGCATCTGCTCGGTACATTTTCTGTAAACATCCATATTGACTTGAAAGTCAATATGGAAGAAAATTTCAATAAATGTATGAAATAAATGTTATGTCTGTTAAGGACATTTTCAGGCTTTATATTGTGAAAAATAATTTATGAAGGTAATAGTTACAGTACTTTGTTTCGAAAATGTTTTAAAGAAATAGTTGGGCTCTATTTGTCATATATGAAGCTACAACTCACAGCCTATTAGCCTAGCTTAGCATAAAGACGGGAAAAAGGAAGCAGCCAGCATGACTCTTTCTGAGACTGTTACATTTCTCCTAACAGTTCCTTTCAGAGCTTTATCTAATAGTTGAGTATTGTCTATTTCTCTTTATCGGGTGTGCATCTGAGGCCACTGAAAGTATGCATACTAAAAGTAGATTGTCATTGAACAAAAAATATACAACGAAATTCAGATGCACTTCAGGGTACCAATATAAATACAATAAAAACACTCAGTGCAGCATATACACTTTAGCGAGTAATTACACTTAAAAGAGCATCAATAAATACTTAAAATTACTTAAAAGAAAAGCAATAAATATTACACGATAAAACATGCTGTCTTCGGTAAGAGTGGATTTGGAGATCAGTATTTAATATGCCTATGGCTCTGGGGTAAAAACTGCTCAGGAATCGTGTAATGCCTGTTTTAATGGATCTGTATAGTCTACCTGAAGACGGCGGTTCAAACGGGTGATGAGCATGGTGAAAATAGTCTCTGAGGATGTGGTGAGTTTTCTGCAAACAGCGAGAAATGAAGTCGTCATCCAGGGTTGGAAGCTGGGAGTTTGTGATGTTGTTTGCAGACTAGTAGATCAAATTTCATTAATACCAAGACAAGGCAAGACTAAACCTACTTTTGGTGCAATTCTGGGCAACATGCTTGTTTTTCCGCACATCAGAAGGGCGGCAGCAAAGGCTATATGATGAGGAAAGGATGTATGAAGAAACCGCTCTGCTCCTTAAGTCTAAATGTATGTATGAAATATGTTTCCAATTGCAAACTAAATCCTAAATGTTGCAATGCCATGCGTCGCAAAAGTGGACACATGAGGGAGACATTTCCTCTCCTCTACTTGTTTATTTCTCTCCGTCTGCTTCACGCGCCCTAGCAACTGCAGCATCAGCACGAGCAGCGCAGCGATGGTACGCTATGTCAGACATCTCGTCTCCGTCAAGTCAGTCAGATGGAGCCAGTGTAAGACCGGAAACTAAGCGACTTTCCTCCTAAATAAATGTCTCTGTTTTAGTGTGACATGAATTTCGTAATACTAAGTTAGGCAAACAAAACCTCCGGTTGCGATCATCAATATGGTTTTTGTCCGTAAAGGGCCCCCTAATAATACCATCTCAGATTTTATGTTGTTTTTACATTTAAAATTATATGAGGACCACCTTGTCAAAAACTTTTAAAAGGTATTCGGTGTATGTATTTATTCAGGATTATATTTCTTCACCACACACTTTAGAGCTTTTAATGGTGCAGGGTTGTTTCCCATGTCCCATTTTTCCACAAACTGATCCATTCTGCATCACTGCATCCACAGAAATTTTGGCTTGCAAGCTAAATAACAGCATTAAAAATGTTTGACACTTCCTGATGAGCGTCATAGGTGGTGTCATGACATTGAAACATACAGTGCCTATAAAAATATTCACCCCCTTGGATGTTTTACTCTTTTATTGATTTTATAAATCAATCATGATCAATATAATTTGCCTTTTTTGACAAAAAAAAAAAAAAAACCTCTTTAAAAAAGTGAATGTGGCTTTTGAATGTGAATGGCTTTTTCCCATTACTGAACTCCTGGAGATGTTCAGTGCCTTGGAAATTTTTCTGTATCCATCCCCTGACTTGTACTTTTCAATAAACTTTTTCTCTGAGCTGTTTGGAGTTGTTCTTTTGTCTTCATGGTGTAATGGTAGCCACTGGTGACCTGTCCAGGGTGTACCCCGCCTCTTGCCTGCAGCCGGCTGGGATTGGCTCCAGCCCCCCATGACCCCGCTTGGGACTAAGCGGAAAATGGATGGTAGCCAGGAATACTGATTAACCAGTGACTGGAGCTTCCAGACACTGGTGTCTTTATAGTACAAGAGACACGTTCACTGCACTCAGGTGATTCCCATTTCTCTGACTGTGAGACTACTAGCACCAGTTGGCTGGACCTCTGTTGAATTAGATCAGTCATTTTAAAGGGGGTGAATAATTATGCAATCACTTATTTTCCATTACATATTTTTATTTAATTGACATTACTTTGTAAAAACATGTTTTCACCTTGACATTAAAGAGGTTTTTTTGTCTTTTTTTTGTCAAAAAAGCCTAATTTTATTGACCATGATTGATTTATTGATTTGATTTATAAAATCAATAAAGGGGTAAAACATCCAAGGGGGTGAATACTTTTTATAGGTGCTGCCATTGAAATTATGCATTTTATTTTCACTTTTATTTAATGTGAATTCTTGAGCACATTTAGTAAATACTTGGCTTTGTTAATTACAAAATAATAGTTATAGATAAAAATAATTTTAATCTAACCCTTTGCAGTACTTCTCCATGGACCATAGCTTGAAAATGGCTATACTAACAAGGCTACCTAGCCCCAGATTTGTATAGCCATAATTTGATTAGTTTCATTTATTATGCAATATGTAGCATAAACACAAAACTAAAACACTGACAGTGTTACAAATAGATTTTAAAGCCCTTTCTCAAAGATGGCGTTAATAGGCCTAATATTGTTGCACACACATGGATGGTTCACTGAATGGGCCAAGACCAGAGAACTGTAAAGGAACTTTTTAGCATTTCTGTTGGAAAGTCAATGAAATTACTACAAAAATCCACAAACCTAGAAAAATAGATGCAGACAATTACAACTAGCTCCAAAACTACAAAAAGACAGAGACTCCAAATATATGCAGAAGGACAAAAAAGAACACAAAACATCCACAAAGAAATGCAAAACAACTTAATAAAAATAGACACAAAACAAGTTTTAAAAAAATGGTGAAAATGACTACAAAGAGATCCCAAACCACAAGAAGCCAAACTGACTACAAATCACATGGTTTCTCAATCTGTGTCTTGCTCCTAGAAGTGTAGGAGCAGTAGGGACCTTTTACACATCTGTGCCCAGGGGCCAAGGCTCTCATAATCCATGCATGTGCCCTCTATCAGTCCTGGGATATCCATTTGGCTTCTGTCTGTTTATGAGTGTTCTTAACTGATATTGTATTCTATGTTTTTATTGTTGTAGCACTTTGTGCTCTCGAGTTGGAAAGTGCGGTACAAATAAAGTTTATTATTATTATTATTATAAGGTTCATGATGTCAGTTGATACTGTACTTTAGTTACTAGTTGACTGGTCATAATCCTGGAGGCCATAGGGCCCCTGGACAGTGGCTTGCCGGATCAGCTTAAAACTATGGAAAATTCTTCTTCCAGTTCCGGGTACAACATGCCTGGGTAATATTTTACTTTGAAAACAACAAGCGGAAGTTATATTGTTCATTCCGGCTTGCTTCACGCTGGTCCCTCTTCTGTCTCGTAAACCGAGGTTAGCCCAACATCACCGCCTTTTTTCTAACCACTCCGTACTTTCTGTCCTTCTGTTATTTTCCTGTCGTTTCCCAACACATCACGAACACCGCAGGTGCACAGGGCATCCTCCTGATTTTATGCTCTTTGTCTTTTTTTTCTTCAGGTGGAAAGCGTTTTGGTAGCAGCAAAACATATCCATCCACGACGGCGACGAGGAGGCAGGGTGCGAACACAGCAACGCCCATTTTCACACCTACTGTATCACTACTGTATCCACGAAGCTGTTTCAGTACCGTTTCTGTGTCTGCCTGTGTGTTTGTAAAGGCTTTCCTCACCTGTAGATCCCATTCCTCGCCCTCCTGTCCTGCCTGTCATCACCGCCTCTTTAGCATCTACGTGTAGCTGCAAACATCAAGGGTTACTGACGAGCTCCATGGCCCTTCCCGTGCAGCGCACCTAGACCACATTTCTGCAAGTGAGCATGTTTTGCCTTACACACACATTTAACCACAACATTCTCTGCCTTGATGCTGCTGGTCATATGGAGTAGATCTGCACTAGCATGTTTTGATGATGGTGATTTCTGGGAAGGAGTCGCATGCCTGTCTTCTAGTAAACAAACACGGTTACATTATAGGGTGTTGCAGGGAAGCTTCACATGCAGCGAAGTTTTTATTATTATTATTATTATTAATTACATATTTGTTAGATGGTTCTAAACCATTTTTGGGTGAACACTTCATTATGTCAAGGTGAAACCTCTGCTTTACTTATTTACATTTATTACTTGTTTAAACTCAATAAACAGTTTATCACACCTGCTTCTTCAGCGCCCACCTTTAGTACCGGTTTCCACCGCCCCCGGACGTTCTAGGAACGTCCACTAGGGGGCGATACCGCCCCCGTTGATAATCCGTATGGTTTATTAAAATGATATTGGCCCTATGTTTGGTTCTGGAATGATGGTTGGGCAAAATAAGCATTTTGAAGGCATCTATTTGGGCTTTTGGAAATTGTGATTGTGGGACTATACACCAAGTGATTAATGGAGAAATTTGTGTATTTACATCCTGTGTTTATTGCATTGTGTGGAACCCAGCTGCCCCACATCCCTTCAGCATGCCCTAACTCATATTATGAATGGTTGTTTTCAAATTATCTCATTGTGGTAACAATGTGTCTCCTTAAAAGAATTAAATTTTATATCCCTCACAAACACAAATCAGTATTGTGAATGTTTCTTGTATTTAGTGACTCTACCCTGAAATATGACAGCAGGCTGAGCCACTATACTGCCATTCTAACCACTACAGCACTACTATTGCTGTCAGCCTATAGTACATTGTGATAGGTTGCTGATTTGTGGGCACAGAGTGAGACAGAAAAAGCAGCGGTCAAAATAAAGAGACCTGGGCATTTTACTAGCAAACCCTCTTTACTTACACACACACACACACCCACACACAAGCGCAGCTGTGTGTTAATGAAGCTCAGTCATCCCCGTTCCTTAGCAACAGCGATGTGCGCTGGTCAAGGTCCATGCCAAATTTGGCTCTGCCAGTCGATGCTGCGTGTTTGTAAGTTTACATGCTGCATGTGCGGGTAGTTGTTATTAGGACTGTGTAGATTTCACTTTCCAGTGGGAGTAGCAGTGGCAAAAATATGCACATTCTTTATCCTGCAAAGTGCTTTACATCCATTACTATGGATTTTATAGTTTGCGTATGCATTTTTGCATGTAAAGATTTAATAGAGATAATTACACTGTATATTCTCTAAGTGAAACCCACAACAAGCCCTTCTTCTTCCTCAGTATTAAGATGTCTGTTGTTACTTGAGGCCACAGTGATTACAGCTTCTGTTGCATAGGTTTTCCATTAAGTTAAAAAAAATGTTTTTTTGCTCAGTTATTAATAAATGAATTGTATGGTTTATAAAAAGTCAGAAAATTGTTAACAATCATATAATAATAATATAATAATCTTAAATCCCAAGGTGGCATCTAATTGAACCATGGTTCAAAAACTCAGAACTATTTACTGTCACCAAAAATAAGGAAAAGTCCTGACAGTTCAGAATTTCTGGCATCATAGAAAAGTTCTATGTATTACTGCGCTGTCTTGTAGCCTGACAAGGCTTTTTAATGACCAGGGAGCTGTGTAGACTCTCCGCTACATGGGACAGATTAATCTGGCAGCACACACAGACACAAACGTAGACAGCCCGGGTTACACAGCCATATGCTTATCCCGTGCGTCTGTAGGTTTGTTGATGTGTTTACTATATGTTGACAAATAACTTGTTTACATCTTCAGGCTCCTCTTTCTCTTTCCTCCTCAGACTGTATCAGTGGCCTTAACCCCTCCCCCCAACATTTCTCCACATTTTCACCCTCTCTAACCGTCCCCCCACTCAAACTCCTCATTCTCCTCTCGGTCTCCTGCCATCGCGCCCAGCTGTGGCCATCACAGGGCACGCTCGCTGGCTTTCACCTGACAGGTCCCTGGCCTCAGGACAACAGCCAGCACAAACACGTTCCCTACATGAGGGACAAAGCAACACAGGTAAGTGCTTGGGGGGTTATGTCTGTGTGTGTGTTGTGATGCTTAGGTGGGTGTGCATGAGTTTGAGTGTTGCTCATAAGCACAGGGTGAAATCAAACAAATTACATACAAATACTGAAAATGTATGCACAGAGTCAAAAGTTGAGTTTCCACAAATAAAATAGCCAGAGAGGTTCAAGAATTTGAAGAAAGAAAATTTTCTTAAGAAGAAAGGGAGATTTATAAATTTATATAATATAAATAGACTAAGAAAAAAGTTACTAAAACTTAAACAAGACTAAGAGTCTGTGGCCATGCTAGCACATAGCTGTGTGCTATGATTTTTGCCAAAAGGATGATTGTTGCCAATGCCAAGATGGCGCCGCTGTTCATGGCCTGCCGTCAGCCTCTCCGGTGTATGTTACTGTTTTCACAGAATCAGAATCAGTTTATTGGTCAGGTGTGTTGGACACATGAGGAATTTGACTCAGGTACATCGGCTCTCAATGTGCAAACAGTAGACCAGCATAAGGCTGTGTAATATAACAAAATAGCAGTATTAACATCAACAACCAGTGCAAACAATGCAGAAAAAGCAGTATAAATAGACAGTAAACAATGCAGACAACAAGGGAATGTTCA